GTAGTAGTAAAGGTAATTTTACTGTTGTCCATTATATTTACCTCTCACAATGTTATCCTAACATAATAATATTAATAAAAAATACAAAAATTTGGTGGAACAGCAAATTTGTCTTTATGTGACGGAAAGGGGCTTCTACTGTAAATACGTTAGCAAAAACCTATAATGAAAAGTTTCCAGACTGCTTATAGATTTATCACTTGAGCAARTACTTATTTTTTACATATCACAGCATCGGCAATTTTCTCAGCTTTAATTTAAGCCATATTTTATAGAAATCGGATAAGGAATGAGGGTGCTATGAATATTTTTGTGACAGATTGACGCGCATCCCGCATTGAAACTTTACAGTTTTGTTGACATGATTCAATGCATAGCAATGGCTCCTATGACGACACGTCGCTAGCTATAGGCGATGTCCAATCCAGTAATATAGATCAATGGCGTGGACTCTGTTAAAGTTTAAAACGATTGGATTGATTTTACCCAATCGCTAATGTTTGGCTGTGATTTATGTAGCGCGCCAGCTCCACTGTGAAGGAAGCTAAGCTAAGAAGCTAACCGGAAATTGCGTGCACTGTAAACATACATCCCTTACTGGGAAGAGAAAAGTAACAAGCCGAATGAGACGGCTGTAAATGAGTGCTGCAGGCTTTGTGAGACAAATTTAATTTGGAAGCCTTGTCAACACGGATTGGCTTTATTCACTTAAAACTGCACAGAAAATCAACGTCTTCGTTCACAACTCCTCCTTCTGTTTGCTGATTGGCCCGGTTGACACTCGACCGTAAAAATCCTTGTCTATGGGAGGAATTCCAGATGAAGCAGAGAAGGGAAACTAGAACTGAGCGCAACTGTGTAAGAAGGCAAGGTCCAGGATAGTTCTAGCATAAAGTTGCTGTTGTTTGTGTACTTCAGTATACTTCTGATAGTTAGGTTTGCTCAACAAGTTGTAGTGGTGACTTACAACTCGTTCTCTCTTTTGTGTTTCTCCTGCTCGCCTATAAATGCCAACATGGCCTTGCACCAAGCTTTGGGCCGACCTGCCCTCCAACATTAGACAGTCACTCACTGACTTTTAATCAAGTCGGGGGTAGTTTAGTGTTTTATTGTTCTGTGTTTTGCATTTATTGATTTTCTGATGCTTTTAAATTAATTTGTTTTGCTGTTTTTATTGACATTTTTGGCCTTTTTATTGTTCAGCACTTTGGTAACAAYGTTTTTAACRCTTTATAAATCAATTTGTTGAAGTTTGCCTTTAGTCAATTAGTCAATACYCCCCAAAAAATTCTGTATTTAGAATTCAAGACTCAGGTTCTGTTTTGAAATAAGAGAGAAGAGAATAAAATAAAATGTGTGTGCTCATTGGTGGGCCGAACATGAGTGACTCGCGGACCACWTTTGGCCCACGGGGTGCCAGTTGCCCGTACCTGTGTTAGCTAGACGCATCATGTGTAAAAAATGARCTAACTGAAACAGTAAAATGTGCTTCAAATATATTATTTTTGTCTTGAAAATGTGACTTGATTTGTCCCAAATTCTTTTGGAATATGGGAAACAAAAACCTGGTCTTTTTTTTTTCTTTTTTTTTTGCTGTTTAATAAACCTAACAAGCACATATTCAGATATTTGGTGACGGGATAATTTGAAAATTAAAACCCGTCACACACAAGAGGGAGACATTAAAACTCCACACAGAAGAGCCTCGTCTTARATTTGAATGAGAGAACATTTTCCTGTGAGCGTTAATAGCTTTCCCACCAGCACGACAGAGAATTACGGAAAAAAAAAAGGAAAGACTACTAAGTTGATTTTCTGATCCCTGAAGCTGAGTATCTGCAGGAATTCATTGTGTCCCCCGTGTTTTTGCTTCCTGCTTTGGCAGCAGCTTTAATGGTGCCGGTGACACACAGCCAGGAAGTTCCCCCACTGCTGGCTGAGGCTGAACCGGCCGGGATGAACGCCGGCAAACACTGAGCTCCAAGCTAATGAGGGGTTGAAGGGGGTGGTAGCGCTTTTGTTACAACACAACCATTTCTCTTTCTTTCGTTCTTTCTCCGCGGACCTCCTGCTGAGCTGCCTCTGGTGCTGTAATTCACCTCCATTCGCTCCCCAGAGGTCCCTGTCAGACAGGGTCCAGGAGTCAATTGGGGTCAGAAACTGTCAGCGGCGCATCCCAGTCTGAGGTCAGAGCTTGCTGGCAGGAGGAACGGCGGCAGCAAAGAATTGTTTCTATATTTGGACGAGGCTTCAAGGGAATCTGAGTTTTCTGAAAACAGCGTTATTAGCGGTAGAAAAGATGCACCTCGGCCGCAGCGAGACCATCGTTAGTGGTGCTTATTGCTTGAACAAGGTGGTTTAGACTACTCTTCTTTTTTGTAACTTTACCTTTCCTGGACAGTGTGTCAAAACAACAGTTCTACAAATTATTTATATATTTATCGTTATTTAACCAGGCGAGATCRCAGATCTCTTTTTCAAGGGAGGCCTGGGCCTGAAGGGGACCTATTGTACATGTTTTTAGGGGTGGGGGAAACCGGAGTACCTGGAGAAAACCCACGCAAGCACGAGGAGAACATGCAAACTCCACACAGAAAGACCCCATTTGAATCGGGGATCGAACCCAGGACCTTCTTGCTGTGAGCCGTCAGTGCTAACCACTGAGCCGCCGTGCTGCCAAACTTGGGATGTTGAATAAAACGTCAGTAAAACCAGGATGCAATCATTTGCAAATAAACCCACATTTTATTCAAAGTGGAATTCAGTAACCTTGTCAAACGTTTAAACTAAGAAATAATACAGTTAATAAAAAAAACACTAAAATTGTTGTTTATCTTAAGAGAGGGACCAGTCAACCTATTAGCAGCACGTGGAAAAAACGCACGCCTCTCTTTTGGTATGGGGGTGCATTAGTGCCTCTATCATGGATAGTTTAAACATTTGGAAAGAGACCAATGAGGCAGAATTTTAAATACAGGCTTTCTTTTTTTCCGTGTTCAGCTATCAAAATATTGGTTTATAAGATTTGGAAATCTGGAAATTTTATTTGCATTTTTGGAATAGTGGGTTGATATTTTCATTGAACCAAATCCTATTTTTGCTTATTTAATATATTMTTTTTGTGGCATCCTTTGCAGACTCCTTAGGGGTAGAAATATTACGGGAAAGCCTTTAATTTGATTACCTTATCTGCACTTATCTGATTTTCTTGTTTGAAAGAAGAGGCAGCCTCTGTGCTGCTGTGCTGAAGAATCGTGGTTTTTATCTACGATATGTGTTTAACGTTGAACTCTGGGCCGCCACAGCTCCAGCTCCTGGTGGTTGCTCTCTCTCTGATTTTGCTTCTTCCTCCTCCTCCTCCTCCATCTCTACCCCCATCCCCCATCTTCAATTTGCTCTCCCTTTTCTCTCGCTCTCTCCGTCTTCTTATGCATAAATGAGATTTGTCTAGACGGGGAAGCTGGAGCGCCAGCTTCGCAACCACAGGCCTCTGCATAACAAGCTCGTTATGCAAACGTGTCTGATTGGATGGCGCCGTTCCATTGGCTGCCACTGCGATTGTGTGGTGTGTGTTTGTGTGTGGGTGGGGTGGGGTGGAGTGGTTTGATAGAATGAAAGAGTGAAAGAAGGAGAAGAAAGAAAGAGGTAGAAGTTGGGGGRGAGAGAGAGAGAAAATAAAAAAGCGATGAGAGAGGGGAGCTTTGAGATGTGAAGGCGAGAAAGTGAGAAGAAGATGAGGAACAGGGGGATGAGGTGGGGGG